TGCTACCACCTCTTCTGCCAATCCTGTATTTCATTCCCGCATGAAGCATGTTGCCATTGATTTCTATTCTGTCCGTCAACGTGTGCAACGTGGTCTTCTTCATGTCCATTATATTCCCTCGCATGATCAACTAGCTGACATTCTCACCAAACCCCTTTCTCGACAACAATTTGTTTTTCTACGTGACAAGCTCAGGATTCTCAGCACTGACAGAATACCTGGCTTGCGGGGGCATAGAAGAGTCTAAACAGCTCCAGAGAACCGTTACATCAGTTACACAATAAATTAGAAACATTTGTATTTAATTTTATAAATCAGTTACAAATCTTTTAATTAGTAGCCTACTTTATTAGTCTCTAAAATGTTGTATAAACAGGATGTTATTTTCTGGAATGAATCAAGTTTTTCTGTCTCAATCTTTTCCCTCTCTAAAATCTAATAGATACAACTAACTAGGCTGTGCTGTCAACATTTCTGATATCACAAATGAGGACAATGTTGTCTAGATGGGAAAAATTATTCTATCACGTTATCATTAACTTTAAGTCTCAAAAATAGAAAAATATTATTTAATATATTTATGAGTAAAAATATCTGAACATTAGACTACTAATGTTACAATTCTGGTAGTCTTTGATCACTTTTTCTTCTCTTTGTAGCTGCTAATGCCGTATGCCACTACTTACTCTGAACCTATTGGGTAATTACCAAACTGTAGAAAGTAGGGTTGCACAAGAATAACCCCAACCCGCATAACCCGCTCGACCCAACCCTATCCGACCCTATTTAATCGGGTATTTGATTTTTAAAAATATTCATGGGTTAAATATGATTGAACCCGCACCTAATGGGTAGGGTTGCGCAATTAAAATCTTCAACCCGATAATACCCGATAATTTCATTTTAAGACCAATGTCCTCTATCTAGGACTTTACAACAACAACAACAACATCCAAGCCTTAGTCCCAAAAGATATTGGTGTCGGCTAACATGAATCGATACATGATATCACCACCAAAAGGAAAAGAAAGAAAATAAAGATAAAAAAGATAAGTTATTATAAAAAGAAAATATAAAAAGAGATGAATATACATAAACATGATAAAATAAAAAGGCTACAAATAATGCTTATATATATAAGGATATAAAACAAGGAAAAAAAGATGAAGGAAAAAGATTATACGAGATCACTCCTTCACGTGAATACCCGCCCTCCACTTAGTTCTCTCCAAAGTCATGCCCTCATCCAACCCCAGAAGAAGCATATCACTTCGAACTCCCCTAACCCACGTCTGTTTGGGTCTTCCTCTCCCTCTCTTCCCTGCCTCTTCTCCACACATCTCAACTCGTCTGACAGGTGCATCACTCGGTCTTCTACGCACATGACCAAACCACCGTAGGCGCGACTCCCGCATCTTGTCTTCAATAGGTGCTACTCCCACCCTTTGTCTGATTGTCTCATTTCTCACGCGGTCCTTCCTAGTATGCCCACACATCCAACGCAGCATGTGCATCTCTGCCACACTCATCTTTTGAATGTGACATTGTTTCACCGCCCAACACTCTACGCCATACAGTAATGCAGGCCTAATTGATGTCCTATAAAATTTACCCTTCAGTCTAGTCGGCATACCTCGGTCGCATAGAAATTCTGACACACTCTTCCACTTCATTCACCCTGTTCTGATTCTATGGGATACATCTCCATCTAATCTAACTCACCGTCCTTCTGAATTATGGATCCCAAGTAACGGAACATATCGCTGACTGGTATCTCCTTACCATCCAGAGTAATTCCGCTATTACCACTGCTTCTACCTCCACCAAACTTGCACTCCATGTACTCTGTCTTGCTCCGACTTAGTTTGAAACCCTTATTCTCCAATGTTTGTCTCCATACTTCCAACTTTGCTTTAAGACCTGATTGTGTCTCATCAATCAATATAATATCATCGGCAAACATCATGCACCACGGTATATCGTCTTGAATTGACTTCGTAAGTTCATCCATGACTATGGCAAATAAGAAAGGGCTCAAGGCCGATCCTTGATGCACTCCGATAGTAATAGGGAACTCTTCAGTCCTCCCTACACTAGTATGGACACTTGTAGTACAATCCTCATACATATCCATGATGATGTTGATATACTTGCGTGATATGCCTTTCCTAGTTAAGGCCCACCAAAGAACTTCTCGAGGTACCCTATCATATGCCTTTTCTAAGTCGATGAACACCAAATGCGGATCCTTATGAGCGTCTCTATACTTCTCCATAAGTTGCCGAAGAAGGTGAATGGCCTCAGTTGTTGAGCGACCAGGCATAAAACCGAATTGATTCTCTGAAATCTTCACAGTTCTTCGAAGTCTTTGCTCAATTACTCACTCCCAAAGTTTCATGGTGTGACTCATAAGCTTAATCCCTCGATAGTTGGCACATTCTTGTACATCACCTTTATTCTTAAATAAGGGGATAAGAGTACTCTTCCTCCAACTCGTTGGCATCTTGTTGTTTCTCTAAATCATGTTGAAGAAACTTGTTAACCACTCGACGCCTCTCTCTCCCAAACTTCTCGAAGCCTCGATCGGTATGCCATATGGCCCCATTGCTTTCTTCCGTCCCATCTTCCTCAGAGCTTATTTAACTTCCGTTGTTTGGATCCTTCTCACAAAATCACGATTTACCATACAATCTGGTATGGACAAATCACCGATATCTTGCGTTTTGTTCCCGTTGAATAGTGTATCAAAGTATGACCTCCACATCTCTTTTATCTCTCCGTCGACCATTAATATCCTCTGATCGACATCCTTCACACACTTAACTTTTGCAATATCTTGAGTCCTGCGATCACGAAGACGAGCAAGTCTATAAATATCTAGTTCTCCTTCCTTAGAGTCCAACTTTTCATACAACTCCTTGTTCACTTTCCCTCGTGCTTCCCTTACAGCTTTCTTTGCTTGTCTTTTAGCCTCCTTGTATGCTTCTATGTTCTCATCACTCCAACTTGTCCCCAACTTTTTTGTAGCAATCTCTTTTGTTCCTTATGGCTTGTTTCACCTCATCATTCCACCAAGATGTGTCCTTTTTAGGTGGCAGACATCCTTTAGATTCTCCAAGTACCTCCTTTGCCACTTTGTTAATGGTCAACTCCATTGATAACCATACAACATCCACATGTGTTTCATTATCAATACGCCATACATCTTCACCGACCATTTTGTGTGTAAAGCTTTGTTGAAGATCTCCCTCAAGCCTCCACCACTTTATCTTTGGCTCCACTTGTTGTTTAACTTGTCTTCTATGTTTTTTACCTCGAAAGTCAAGCACAAGCATCCTATGCTGAGTGACAACACTCTCACCTGGAATAACCTTACAATCAGTGTAGCTAGTTCTCCAAGTGGTCCGTACTAAGAAGTAGTCAATTTGGGTACTATTAACTCCACTTTTATAGGTTACAAGGTGAGAGTCTCTTTTCTTAAACCAAGTGTTCATTATAGCCAACTCATACGTCAATGCAAAATCCAAAATGTTCTTTCCCGCCTCATTCCTAGTGCCAAAACCATGTCCGCCATGAATACTCTCAAAGCCATCACGACTCGAGCCCACATGCCCGTTGAGGTCACCTCCTATGATCAACTTCTCTCCCCTTGGCACTCGTCGCACCACGTCTTCAAGATCTTCCCAGAACTGTTGAATTGTAGATGCATCCAATCCCACTTGTGGTGCATAGGCACTTACCACAGACACAATCTCACCCCTTATCACCAATTTAATGCTCATGATGCGATCGTTCTTCCCGTAGACTTCTACCACATCCTTAACATAGTCACGCGCCACAATAATGCCTACCCCATTTCTGGTTTATCTCTCCCCGAATACCACAACTTAAACCTCCGGGATTAATCTCGCGTGCTTTCTCTCCAACCCATTTAGTTTCTTGCACACACATAATGTTGATATTCCTTCTCCTCATAACCTCGACTACCTCGGAAGGTTTGCCTGTAAGAGACCCAACATTCCATGTCCCAAAACGCAATCTAGCACTCCACCTTATGTTCTTAGCCCCATCTCGGACCCCACCATGCCCTTGCATATTTGACATCATCCCCGGGCAATGGGATGACGTGCCGCTTCCGGGCGGCGACCTAGCAACCTTAGCATTCTTATCACCACACCCAGGTGTATGAAGTGTAGCACGCCCTTGCATATTTGACACCACCCCCAGACGGAGGGATGACGCGTCACTTACGGGTGACGACCTAGCATTAGCGATATTCATATTTCGATTCATGTCATGTGATGTGACTAGGTGATACTGTTGGCCGTCACATGCCTACCACAGCACCCTCCTCCTTTATCCTGGCTTGAGACAGGCATGATACAAAAAAAATGATAACATGGTGGAGTTTATGATACTAAAATTGTCTAGGACTCTATCTAGGACTTTATGATACTAAAATTGTAATTAAACATTTACCATTTTTACTAGGTGATTATTATATATTTATGTTTCCTTCTAAATGATCCTCCTTTACGGAAGGATGTTTTAATACTATTATCTAATGTTTTTGCTTATAAAAGATACGAGTACTTGTATTTGTTTGTGTGTTTTGAACAAAAGTTAATCGAGTTTCAAATTGGTTACATTAATCTCCCACATAAAGATGCAACCCGAAGTGATTTTTTTTCAATACCCGACCCTACCCGACCCGTTCATGCATGGTTTACCAACTTATTTTGGGTACCGCGGGTTGAATAATAGCCAACCCGAACAAATCGGGTAGGCCCAAAAAATATAGCAAACCTGACCCATCCCGCCCGATGTGCAGCCCTAGTAGAAAGTTATCCAGGGGTAGTTATGGAAATAGCGAAATTTGTGATATAAAAGAAAAACTTGGGGTATTCCACTGTCATTTGACCTTCTTTCTAAAAGTAACAGACAGTTTCCTTTTGGATGTAACCGTGTTATACCTTGAGTTTCGTGATTTGAACTTGCAGGCGGGAGGAAATAGTGTTAGAGGCAATGATCTTATAAACGGAAAGTCTGCTTCTACCAAATTTATGCGAATTTGTACGGACGGGAAGCATAGTATTGTACTGTGCCAACCGATCACCGGAAGGACACATCAGGTATGCTACATTGCTACTCAGCGTTACCCTACTACCCTGTTATGTTATCCATGATGGTACACTAATCCATGATGGTACACTAATCCAGTGAATTTATAGTGCCCTTTACGCTGTGAGGTTTTAATGTATGAATCGTATGATATGAATATAAAATTACGACGTCATTATTTCTAAATATTATTAGAAAGCTTATTGATAGTCACAATGTGCCTAAGCCCAATATGACAAAGAAATGTAAAGCAAATACGAAAGGGAAATCAAGATGTTCCCAACTAAGATTACTACATTTCTATACTTTGTCACCCCCTCCAGCTGGACTATATGAATATATGCTCCGAACCTGAAACTAAAAAGAAAATCAAACTTAACCATGAACACTGAAGAAACTTGAACCCTTGAATATTCCTGAACCTTTATTTTCTTAAAAAAATTAAACAACTTAAGAGTTGAACTTTAACTTAGCTCTTTCAACTTATTTTCCCTTTACTGAATTCTATGGAGTTCTATTTTACGGAGCTCTGCTTTAGTGAACTATCAACCGACCACAGTTAAGGCTTAGATAGAAACCCTGTGCTAACCCTCTGTACAAAGTAGGAAAGCATCATGCAAACTCTGAAGGCGCTTAGAGGCTAATTTTCTCCATACAAACAATCAACCGACCCAATTATATGCCTAGTGAAAATAGCTACATGAAAAAAATGAAGTCCTAATAGATAATTAGGAAAACTAATTTTGTAATTAGTCATTGGATGGTGAAGTTATGTTAGTTCTAATTACTAGTCATATAGGTGTTGAATAATTGACTAATTGTTATAAACAGAGTTGAAAAATGTGTTTAGTGAAACTGCCAAACTGGAAGAAATACATCAATACCGTCTGTTCATTTGTCAATGAATTGGTTGCAAAGTATTGAGGTTTATAAAGACAATATGATACATTGAAGATTAAACTTGAAGTACTAAAATATTTAGCGAAGTTGAAGCTTAGCTTAAACATCAAGATACCAAAAAATGATCTTTGTTCCTTTATGTTATTGGATCAGTTATTAGATGTTAAAAATTGGTTTGGGTTCGCACATCATGTTTATAATGGGTGTTTCGTTCACTCAATCTGAGATGCAAGGTTTGCCTGTCTACTATTTGCTATAATCATAGACTCATAGTAGTTCCATTTTTGAGATTTGTAGTCCAATTTTTTACATGAAATTTATGGCACTGACTGTGTAATGAAATACTCTGTATATTACAACAGTTTCGCAAACATTTGTTTTTACAAAGACTGCGTTACCCTAATGCTTCTGACTTGTGATAGATACGTGTTCATTTACAATATACTGGGCATCCAATAGCTAATGACAAGCTCTATCTGTTCGAGAGCATTCCTCGTTCAGCAACTGAAATTAGTGCGGATAGAGGTGCTGCTATGTCAGGCCATGTTCTAAAGCCCAGAAATATTGGAAGTGATGGTGGTGAATCTGATAGTGGACCCAATGAAGATTTCAGCTATGACCCAATGTGTACAAATTGCCCAAACCTGGCTCCTAAAGGGTAATATTTTTTAATTTTGGCATAATAGGCTTGTAGTACTACGTTCCAATAGCATTAAGTTTTTGAACGTGAACATATGTCCTAATATGCGATCATTTGAGTAGTTCGAGAGAGAAAACTGAACGAGGAGAACATGTTTTCATTCAGTGTAAGGCAACACAAACCAAAAAGGTAGAAAACCATGCAACTTATAGCATTTTTCAAGTGTCCTAAACCCACCTGATGTACTTGACCTTTTTTTTGCTGTTGAAATTGTCTTATGATTACTTGTTATTACCGGCATAGTTATCCCCCAGACTCATCTCATGCTTGTTCTTTGTAGTTTTTTGTACGGTGAAATGCTTGTATTATTTCAAGTTTGAACTTTATATGTGAGGTGAAGTGTTGAAAAGTAGGAAACCCTAGATGGTAAACCCTAGTATAGCTCTAGTCCACTACAAGGCCAACACTAACTTTCATATGAAGATGTTTATTCTTCTATTGTTGTATTAATTCTTTTATATTACAGTGTTATATTCAATATATTGTGTTTATTCTCTCATATTCGGTTATGCTAAGTCACTGGTGATGGTTACAATGGTGCTTTTGATGTACCTTCAAACTTGAGGGGGAGTATTCTGAAGCATGTGAGCATATAAAATAGTGTTGATAACAGTAATGTTTAGCTTGAGTATTTAATAGTGTAATACACATGAGTGTCTGTTTTATGCTTCGAATATAACAGTGAAAATATGCTATATCTATCAGTCTTCTACAGTAAACTTTGAACCACTTCTTTACTTCAGATTTGGAATTTGCACTGAAAGTTTTAATTCCTTTAAGTTTGCACCCCCACCTGGGTTACTTTATTTGCACTTCCCACCCCATGATTACATTGGTAACGACTTTACACTCCATTCTAAAGTCCAAAGTAAAGTAAAATTAATATGGGGTGTGAAGACCAATTTCACAGTAAACATAGGGCACAAAGTTCTGTTTTTCTTATTCTATAATTAGCAGTATTTTTGCTTGTAGGAGTAATAATTGAATAAACTCTATAATAATTGAATAAACTATATGTGTAACTACATTTATTAATATACCCTGTTAGTATTTTGATAATAGGACCTGTTTAAAAATTACCCAGTACCTTATATATGTTCAATGCAGATATGATGGTTACGAAGAGGGCATATGGCTGCATTGTGTTAAATATTCTGGACCAGATTGGACATATGAATGCCCATATCCAGTCTGGGCATCCTTAAGCTAACCTCTTTTCGATCTCATTTGGTTAGTTTGGTATTTATGGACTACTTCAGATATTTCAGAGGTAACTAATTTCAAACTGCGATACAGGTTTTTATTCACAATACTCTATTCTGTTGTCTAGTCAATCTCTAAAAGTTAGTTGGTTGGAATTTCTGTTTAGAAGTAGGGGTGGACACGGTCCTTCCCGGTGCTTGACCTATCGCTTAATGCCCCCCATAGGCACTAGAACTGTTATGTCTCTCAACAGTATTGTTGCTTCCGGATAGGATTTTGTAATGCAAAAAATAGGGGAGGTGGGGAGTTACCCGTTCTGGTCATATTTTGCATTGGAGAGATTCATAGCGGATAAGACCAGGTAGCACTGTAGTGGTCTCCATTTCAGATTTAGAAGTGTTCACCCCTATCTAATATTATACTTAAAAGAGTTCTTTTGAAGCCTGCTTTCAAAACACTCACTTAACCTTTTCAGTTGTAATGGCAGCACATATTCTATTGAACAGCTTGCAAATCTTGTTCTTTACATTTACTCGATTGCAGATTTGTTGATCACAACAATTTTGGAGCTGCATGATGCTTCCAGTTTATATGTTTAGCGTTTAGCTTGACATGTGCTTTCTGGTAGAAGGAAGACCTCCATTATCCGGATGATCTATTGAATAATTGTAAAAACAACTATGGAGTATAATTGAGCTAAATCTGGGCATTCACTAACCTAGTAACCTCTACCTTACACCGAGTCACTGATGGCTCTAATGCATTCCAATCCGAAGCTCAGAGCGGACCGTTTGAAGTTTGAACAAGGAGAAGTGCACTGTCGGGTTGTTACATGTCCTAATTCCTAACAGACAATATAGTGGTGCGTGCTGAGATCATATTGGGATTTTCCGAAATAATTTTAGGCTTGCCATATTCCACCCGTTAAAGCTAACGTGCTGGGTTCAGGCGTTCAGCCCTCCCATTTTTTCCCCTAATAATAGTTGTCCAACCCCATTTATAAGTAGGCCTAGCGGGCCCGGCCGAGCGGGTTTTCCTGTCCTTGGTCTGCTCTAATGTAGAAGTAAGCCAGCAAGGCGGACAATCTAGCAAAAATTCACAGCTAAGAAATACGGAGTACTGCGCAATAGTCATTTACAAGGTAAGAATTATTTGAATAATGTTTACAATCTGAGAAGTATTTAAATAGTGTTTACAAGATAAGAAATATTTAATTAGTGTTTACAAGCTAAGATAAAAGCTCTCCCTACATACACACGCACAAGTTTAGTCCAAAGATGATCAGACACATTTGTTAAAACCAAAGAACAAAAGCAAATTTAAAAATTCATAGCAAATCTCAGTTGATATTATTATTGCTAAATACTACGTATGTATTTAGCAATAATTAAATATATACTCCCTCTGTCCCAATTTGATGTTCATGTTGCGGTTTACGATGCTTAACCTACGATAAAGCAAATGAGTCTATCTGCACTCAAATTATTTGTAGCAAATAAAATTTACATATTCAGAAACTACATTAAAATTGCTATAAAGCTTGCAAAAAATAATTCAAATTTCATAAAATTTTGATATAATAAGTAAAAGATTAAGAGTGGTTTAAGTTGACCAATTGAATAGGATCTGTTTTTGAACAAATTTGACTTTGCAACCTGTTCTGAAAAACATTTGTTTTTGCACCCTAACACTAAACAGTCTTTTAGTTAGAGTTAAGGAAATTTTAAAAAGACAACAATGCATTGGAGTAAGGTGACCTCGAGAAATTTTCTTGTTCTGAAAAACATTTGTTTAGTGTTCTGAAAAACATTTGTTTTCTCATTTATAACCCACTTTATTGAACAAATTTGACTTTGCAACCTGTTCTGAAAAACATTTGTTTTTGCACCCTAACACTAAACAGTCTTTTAGTTAGAGTTAAGGAAATTTTAAAAAGACAACAATGCATTGGAGCAAGGTGACCTCGAGAAATTTTCTTGTTCACATTCCTCATCCGTAGAGTAGACTTATTACTAAGGTCCTGCTTGCTTGGGTCAAGGCATCAAAAAATGCACCAACGAATTATTACTAATGCACTTAGAGACAACAATCTTTCTTAGTTCACTTGGAGAATATGCAGCAAGTTACTAATGCATGGCAAGTTGTTTTCAAAAGAAAAAAACCTATCAATGACTCACCATGAAACCAAAAAATGCAGAGATCTACCTGCACAAGCAAAGTGGTCTAAGGACCCTTATTCATACACATCTCATTTATATCACCAAACCAAAAACAAGAAGCTGACACAACTTAAACCTGCAAAAATGAACTGCTATAAAACAAGAAGCTAACAATTCAAGACTTAGGATTGAAAGAGCAACAAGCAACAGAAGTCCCAATGGTACCGTTAAAGTGACAATAGAAGTCTATGGAAAAAAGTGACCTATGAGGGACAATATTGTGATGTAATTGAGCTTATGAGCAAAAAACTTTCAATATAATAATCTACTTATCTACTTGAGAGAAATGTTATATATCAATGTAGATTGAGCAAAAACACTAAAAGTACAACCTTGTAGTTATCATTTCTCTAATTCTAGCAAAAATACAGAGCTATGACTAATTTTAGCAAAATATAGTGAGCTCCAAAGTCGATATTTTACACTGAGTAAAAAAACTACCAGCAGCAAAAACCATTCATCTTACAGTGAGCAAAAATATTGCAGTTGTGTTTAATAAACTGCATGTACTAGGGTGATTTTAGTATGACAAAAAAACACTCCATCTATAGTAGGTCAAAAAGCACCATTAAATTCACCTATGAAGCAACACTTTCCCTTCCAGTAGCCCTTCCAGCACCCCTGCCAACACCTCTTGCAGTAACCCTTCCAACACCTCTTCCAGTAATCCTTCTAACACCTCTTCCAATAACCCTTTCAACCGCTCTTCTAGCAATCCATCCTCTTCCTCTTCCAGAAGACCTTCCAAAACTTGTAGCACCACTACTAGTATTGGCGCCTCCTCTTATTGGACCTCCTTGGCATGACCTCTTGTTGTGTCTGAAAGATAGGCATTTACTGCACTTTTTCATATTTTTGGGTTGAGTTTCATTCTCATCATGACCCTTTATTCTGTTGTGTTTAGGACTTCCAGGTTCCCTTGAAAGTGTAGACGGCAATACAAATTCATTTCCTTGCACATAATAAAAGTAGTGTCATATAATTTCCAACTTCACACTCCGAATACATTCTCTTATTATGATGAGTAACATTACCTCTGGCCAATCACTTTGATGTGAAATTGGCTTGATATTTGATTCATAAGATGATTTGTAAGCCTTAACAATAAGGAATGGATTGCAAAATCTGGTTGCATGAATAATAAGAATCCTAGTTAGTAAAAAAGAAACAATTGTAAAACAACTAATGCATAAAGTTTAAAAAACAAGCATACTGAGCCAATGGTAGTCTTAAGTGGCTGATCAAGTGCACATCATGTACACATGGTGACCCACTGTTTTCCTACTGCCAATAGTAACTCATCCTCCCATTTTTAGATTCTGGGGTAACAAAACATTCGTCACTACATTGAAATAATTTGTGTGTAAAACCATTCAACTCAGTACCTATTTCCTCCACATTTCTTGTAACATTTCCTTGTACTTTTTCATTGTCGCCCCCCTGAACCTCATCATCACTTGACAACCCATATCCAACATAACTTACATCATCAGATTCATCATCTGAGTCATTCATATTATAGCCATCTAATCCATCAAGAATTTCCTCCACAATTGAGTACCTATAGACCATGTAAGAGTTAATAATCTAATTAAATATAGTTGCTTTATTATAGACATTATAGTCATCTAGTTCATCATGAATTGTCTAAATAGAGTAGATTTATCATTAACAAATCTGAATAACCAAATACAAACCAAGTATACCACATTTAATTAATATACCTTGATTATATTTGAATGCATCACGAAGAGTTTCTACATTTGCAGAGTGAGCCAATGGAGGTAGTTCAATATATATCGGCAAAGTCATCATTAGTAAGTGGCTGAGCAATGCTATTTTCTGGAGATGGTACCCTAACTGAAGCGACATATCCAAATCCAATCTTAAGAACTTGTTCCAATCCGTACCAGAAAAGTTTTAACAAGGCTGATTGTTTCAAACTTGTGTATTTACTATGCTCAAGGGATGGATTTTAAAATTGATGGATCACTAAAGTGCACTTTATGTCCCATAGTTGAATTTTAAAGTTGAAAAACGACTCCTGTGCAGCAGATTAAAAAAAAAAGAGGCTTACTCTTCTTAAGTCATGCCACCAGCAACCCAAGACCAAAAAAGGAGGAGAAATCCCAACAAAAAACAGTTCGAACTAATGAGACAAAAAACTTCTCCTGCTGCAATCTTTTTCTAATTGATAATAAGAGTGTCGAATCACTTAGTAGCATCTGGTAAACAGTCAATCTTTCTCTTCACGGGCAATTTCTTGGATGTCCTCTCTATCCTTTCTGTTGGTGTTGGTGCAAGTGCTTCACAATCCAGAAATATCTCTTCGTGTTCTTCCTAGAGCAAGAAGTCTGCCATTTTATCCGCTTCTTCATTACAGGAGCTCACCGTTTATCAAAACCCTATTTCATGATGATGGTAAAGAGTTATTCTTTTGATAAGGGCATTATAGTATTTTCGAAACAATTCTAGCACCGTTAAACGGATCTGTAACGGAGAGGGTGCAAAAATAAAAGTTTTTCAGGACAGGGTGCAAAGTCAAATTTGTTCTATAAAGTGGGGTGTAATGTCCAATTCCCTCATTTTTAATATATATTTTCAATAAATCCATTGTCATATATTCCTTTTACTTTGTTCAACAATCTTCTTATCTGTTGTTGATTAATTGACTTAAACCACAATCATATACATACTATGTATGAACTTAATTAAGTAAGTTTAATTTCCATTATAGATAATAATAAGACTATATGAACTAAGCCTTCTAGATACAAACAAGTTCTATTCTAATTAACAGATGAAGATAAACATATTTAATGTAATTGGATGCATCAGTTGGCCTTGCTATTTGCTAAAATTAAATTGATAATCTACCCGATACAACCAAAAAAGTCGTCACTATCAATTAGTTACAACTTACAAGCACATCTACTATAAGGATTATAAAAACAACACCCTAAGCTAACATGTGCAACACTCTAAGCTGATATGTGCAACACCTATTATAAATAAGATATTACACCTCCCAATGCGAAAAACCCAATGAAAAAAACACACTTAAGGAAAAAGAGTAGATGCTTCATGGGTGAGATGATCATGATCTGGACAAGTCTATGAGTCCCAACCTTGGATGGATGTACTCACATACCTTTGTGCTTGCTCCCTTGGTGAATATGTCAGCTAGCTGGTCTTCACTTCTTGTGTAACAAGGTAAGATGATCTGTTGCTCCACAACTTGTCTAAGCTTATGACAATTCACCTCAATGTGCTTGGTCCTCTCATGGTGTGTTTGGTCCTCTCATGGAATACTGAGTTTGACACAATGTGAATAACATCTTGATTATCACAATGCATGGTGATTGGTGATGCAGTGTCTATGCCCAAATTCAGTAGAAGGCTCTTGATCCAAATGAGTTCACTTGTCAGTTTCATCATTGCTCTGTATTCTGCCTCAGCGCTTGAACATGACACCACCTTTTGCTTCTTACTCTTCCAAGTGACTAGTTTGCCTCCGATGAATGTGCAATAGCCTGTTGTAGACCTCTTGTCCACTTTATCACCAGCCTAATCAATGTCACAATAACCCACAATCTCAGTGCTTCCATTATGACCCATCCAAACACCTTGACTCGGACACTCTCGTAAGTACCTCATGATCCTCTCCACCATATTCCAATGATAAACCTTTGGAGCTGGCATGTGTTGGCTCACTTGATTCACTGCAAAATAGATGTCTGGTCTTGTAATGGTTAAGTAGATTAGTTTCCCAACCATTCTCTTATATAACTTAACATCTTCAACCGGCTCATCTTCCAACTCCCCCTCACGCAATACTTTGTAACCATCTTCAAGAGGGGTTTTGGCTATTCTTCCTCCAAGGGTTCATGCCTCATTCAACAAATCAAGAGTGTACTTCCTTTGAGATAAGAACAACCCCTCTTTAGAGCGACATATCTCAATTCCTAAGAAGTACTTTAACTCACCCAAATCTTTTATGTCAAAAACAGATTTAAGGAAAGCTTTAGTTGAGAGAATACCTTCATTGTCACTTCCTGTTATGATGATATCATCAACATATGCAAGAATGACTAGAATACCTTGCTGGTTCGGGAGAGTGAAGAGTGTGTGGTTAGGTTTTGATCTTCTAAACCCTCTTCCATTCAAGGTTGTGCTCAACTTGTGATACCAAGCTCTAGGTGATTGCTTCAATCCATAAATGTCCTTCTTCAGTCTAAACACATTCCCTAGCTTGACAAGATGCTCTAATCCAGTAGGTAGACGCATATGGACTTCATCCTCTAATTCTCCTCGAAGGAAAGAATTCTTCACATCCATTTGCCACAACTCCTAATCCAAGTTTGTAGCCAATGAGAGAACTATCCTTATGGTGTGAAACTTCGCTACTAATGCAAAGGTGTCAACATAATCTTCTCCATATGTTTGAGTGAATCCCCTTGCAACTAGTATTGTCTTGCGCCTCTCCACCTTTCCATTTGCCAAATATTTAATGGTGAAAATCCACCTTCTTGTCACTGCCTTCTTGCCTTTAGGAAGCTCAGTCTCATACCAAACATCATTGTCCATCATGGCATTAGTTTCCTTTCCCACTGATCCTCTCCATTCTTCATGCTCCATTGCCTCTTCATAAGATCTTGGGATATACTCTTGATCCAGCTCACCAATGAAAGCCAGATGTTCTTTAGGATAATGCACCAATGATCATGTAGCTTGTATACGATAAGCTACTGCATTGTTAGTGAAGTACACTATGTTGTTGACCCACTTGGATTATTTCTTCACTCTTGTACTCCTTCTCAGGACTTGAATTTGCGACTCCTCTTCTGATTCTTGATCCTTACTTGATTGAGTAGAACATTCTTCATGCATTCCATCTTGATCGTGAGCTGCAGCTGAATCTTCTTCTTGTATCTGCTCTTGCGATTGAGGTTGATTGCCCTCTCATGATCAAGATGGATTGCTTCTATAACCTCATCAGCTTCTCTAGCCTCTTCAGGAATGGGAGGTCTCCTGGTTTTCTCACTTTCCTTTGGCTGATTAATTCCAAGACTTTCCAGAATTATTCTCAGGTTGTTTTCCTTATTTGAGGGTCCATGTGAGAGATCTCTAAGATTTTCCCAACTCTTCTCATCACAGTATCCCTTGGATTCCACAAACTTCACATCTCTTGAGACCAGAACCCTTCATAACTCTGGTGCATAGGACTTGTACCCTTTCTGCATGTGAGAGTATCCAATGAACACGGCCTTGACACTTTTGGCTTCAAGTTTGTTTCTTTGCTCACTTGGTGTCAAGACATAGCAAACAAACCCAAACACACGCAAATGATCTATAGGATGTTTGATTTTGTTTAGTACCTGAAAGGGTGAGACATCTTAAAGGATCTTGGTTAGAATTCTATTGATGAGATAGGATGCTAGAACCAACACACCCCCCCAAAATCTTTTAGGGACATTGGTGTGGAACATCATGCTCTATGTAACCTCCATAATGTGTCTATTCTTCCTTTTAGCCACTCCATTTTGTTGTGGTGTGTAAGGGCAACTTGTTTGATGGTTGATTCCATGTTTTGCTAAGTGATGTTTAAAGGCATGGCTTGTATATTCTCCACCATTATCTGACCTAAATTTTTTTATCTTGGCATTGAAATGGTTAGATACATAGTTCTGAAAGTTGATGAAAGCTTCTAGAACTCTATCTTTAGATTGAATCACAGTTAGCCAAGTATATTTTGATTTTTCATCTATGAAGGTGACAAAGTACTTATGGTTTTCTTTAGATCCACAAGGAGCAGCCCAAACACCAGAGTGCACAAGATCAAATCAATGCTCATAAATAGTCATAGATTTAGGGAAGACCGACTTGCAATGTTTGCCAAGAATACAAGATTCAAAACTTTCATTTCTAAAAGATAGAGCTGGCAACATCAATCCTAAGGCACGAGAATGAGGGTGACCTCATCTAGCATACCACAAAACATCATTAGCCAAAGCAGGAATAGAACTAAACGTAGTGGGTAAAACAGAATTAAGGTTGGTGTCTTCAAGCACATACATGTCCCCTTTGCGCACAACCTTTCCAATCTATTAATATCCTGAAATTGAACATCATTAGGACTAAAAATAACTTTGCAATTGAGATCAGTAGTAGCCTTCTTAACAGAAAGTAGGTTAGATGCAAATGTGGGCATGTAGAATGCTTTAGACTTTCATAAAAAAGTTTTAGGTCCCCTATACCTCTAATAGGTATTCTATCACCATTTGCAATCACAACATCACCTAAAGCAGGTTTAATATTGCTAATAAGACTAGAATCCTTAATCATATGATGGGATGCTCCTGAATCTACAATTAATGGTTTATCAGCTTGTAATGCATTTAAACATTTACTACTAATGTTACCAAAGTTTGCATTAAGTGCTTTGATGAGAGCGTCAATGTCTGATGAAGTGCACTTTGTCGTGGTGTGCACTCAAAATTATAATCAATACAACAAATATATGTAGTATTTTTTTTATTAAAGAAATATCTAAAAGGATTACAAAGAAAAGAGGAAAAAGAAAAAAAAACGATATGGAACTTCGAGAGATGTTTGTTCGGGTCCTCCCCTCTTAGACCATGGAAGGATGGAAGAGCCCCGATTTTAGCTCAAATGTAGTACCTTCATCAAGTGTAGCAAAGGTAATACACAATGGTTGTTGATTGAGTTTTGGAGTCGTGAGTTCCTTTAAGGTCCGTGTCTCGAGAGCCATGTGAATAAACTCTTCGAATTCGCTAGAGCTAGAGCTAGCGGTTGATGATTCTTCCGAGGGTGTATGTGAAAATAAATTTCTCAACTCTCGAAGGCTTGTTCTATTTCGGGGTTTGTTTAATATGTGAGTAGATTTATAACGAGTTTTTACCATATACTCAACAAAGCTCAGAAATAGAAAAGTAATAACTCTTTATTATTTTATTAATTATTTTTTGGGTTTTTCTGAAATAAAATAAAAAGAAAAAATGATTTTCTTTCCCCGGCAACGACGCCAAATTTGACGGCACTAAAGTCGTTGTGTGCCTCAAAATAATATTCAATACTTGCACTTATACCGTAGTATAGCGTAGTACGGATCGTATCCACAAGCAAATGAATATATTTCTTTTAATTAAATAGTAACAAAGGGGTTTTTAAGATCAATTTGTTTTAATTAATTTAACACTAAGATGCACAACTTATGTGGTTTAATAAAATAGAGATTGAGACTTGGTTTTGCTTATATCCAGTTAATGAAATATTTGTCGATCTCGGTTATATCTTTAACTATCTTCCTCTCGAATACTCAATCGTGGAGTATCTCCAATTCATCGAGAGTAGTTATTAATAACGAGACGCATTCATTAATAAAACTTACTATCAAGTTAATATAGAACACACGTCGTATGTTGACCCGATAGTTTATTGGTTTAATCAATATAATTGACCCCAACACAAGTGATTTATTGGTTTAATCAATATAATTAATTTTCCTTAGATTATTAACCA